CACACACACACACACACACACACACACAGACACACTCAGAGTCTGTTTTTTAGCACCTGCAAAAACATGCTATTTACATATTTGACAAGAATGCAGAGGCTCCTTTTGCCCCTGAAAAAAATCAAATTTCAAACACAACTTGACTGCTCATTTCTCCAAAAGACAACCATGAAGCTCCATCCAAACCTGAAGCAGGCAGTTGGTGCATGTGTACAGTAACCTGAGGGGAGTGAGGTGACTGCTTCTGAGGAGAACATGAGCAGTGAAGATTCACCTTGGAGCTAGAACAGGGACGTGCACATGATTATACAGGGGCAGGGGCTCAAGTTTTTTCCAGTCATTTATACAATATGGAAATTAATGTGAAATTAAAAAACAAAGTATTAATAGAAAGGTAATGACTGTCCTCTGTAGATGACAGTGATATCCAATAGGCTAGGCACTCACGAGGCTGGCTGTGGCAAGTGTAAGTGAAAGCAACACGCACTGGCAGGAAGAACAGCAAACGCCGATGAAGGAAAAGGGTCTTTGCAGTGATGGGCGTTACCAGAGAGGGCGATGGCCAGAGGACACGAATGGGACGGGGAGGCAGCGCATTGGGGGGAGGCAGCGCGTTGGGGGGGGGGCGGCGCGACACGGCTCGGGCCCGCCAGTGCCCCAACGGGGCCCTAGTTAGGGCCCGAGCGTAGCTGCTAAGCAGCTGCGAGAGCCCTATTATTCCCCAAGTGGTTTTTCTTTGTTTCTTTTTTCTTTTTCCTCCCCTTTGAACTGGAAAATGGCCCACTTCCCACTGGCGAAAACTCATGAAATTTGGCAGGACGACCGGGCCTGGTGAAAAATTTGATATTCCGAAGTCGCTCAAACAATAAAATGCAAAATGGCTCCATAGCGCCCCCTAAGGTGAAAATTCACATGACGGCTGTACGCTTTGTCATATTGACACAAAAATTGACACACACATGTATCTCAATAAGATCTACAAAAAAGTCCATGCGCGCGTATCTGTCAAATGTACAGTTAAAGGGTTATTCCGCATTTTTTGCCGATACGCACACATTGGAATTTCGCTAACTCCTCCGAAGGCTTTCGTTCCACCGGCACCACATTTGCTCAGGCCAATCTACACCCCATGGCCATTAAAAGTTATTCAAATCATGATGCTGCACCCCATGGTTTAGGTTCTAGGGGGCGCCAAAAATAACCCAAAAATCCACATTCTTAAATGTTTTATAACTTTTTATTTTTGTCCTCACTGGCCTTCAAGTTTTCTAGGATGATGCAATGTCCAGCCATCAACACATTTGTGAAGGAATTTTTACTCCCCAAAAGAGCGCCCCCCATGGTAGGAGAAAAAAGTCAATTTTTTCTTGTCCCCTTACATGAAAATACACATTGTTGAGTGTCACGCCTGAACGCTTTGTCATATTGACACAAAAATTGACAATCATGTGTATCTCAATTAGATCTACGAAAAAGTCAAAGAGCGCGTATCTTTATAATGTACGGTTAAAGGGCTATTTTGCATTTTTTGCCGATTCGCACACATTGGAATGTGGCTATCTCCTCCTAAGGCTTTCGTCCCACCGATACCAAATTAGCTCAGGGCAATCTACACCCCATGCCCATTCAAAGTTGTAAAAATCATGACGCTGCACCCCACGGTTTACGTTCTATGGGGCGCCAAAGATGACCCAAAAATCCACATTCTTAAAAGTCATTTTGGCCACTGCAGGAGTACAGAGTACTGCAGTTCTAGGGGGCGCCAAAGATGACCCAAAAATCCACATTCTTAAAAGTCTTTTTGGCCACTGCAGGAGTACAGAGTACTGCAGGATACACACACATATACACACACGCCAACATACACACACACACACACACACACACACACACACACACACACACACACACACAGACACACACACACACTCAGAGTCTGTTTTTTAGCACCTGCAAAAACATGCTGTTTACATATTTGACAAGAATGCAGAGGCTTCCTTTTGCCCCTGAAAAAAAATCAAATTTCAAACACAACTTGACTGTTCATTTCTCCAAAAGACAACCATGAAGCTCCATTTCAAACCTGAAGCAGATAGTTGGTGCATGTGTACAGTAACCTGAGGGGAGTGAGGTGACTATTTCTGAGGAGAACATGAGCAGTGAAGATTCACCTTGGAGCTAGAACAGGGACGTGCACATGATTATACAGGGGCAGGGGCTCAAGTTTTTTCCAGTCATTTATACAATATGGAAATTAATGTGAAATTAAACCACAAATATGTGTGATGAACTGTTTTTAAAACTTAAACTTCAAATAAAAATTGTAAACTTCAAAACATATGCAAATTTTTAACAAAGAACATAGTGATTTACCTCTATTTACATCAAAATGCAGGCAATGGCCCAGGCGTTCTTTGTAAAATTATTTACAAAACACTGTATAGTCTCACAAATGTCACTTTTTATTTATGCCACTACAAAAAAACATGATGTAAATGATGCATGATGTAAAACATGATGTAAAAAACTTGTGTAGATCCTCCTCTATGTCAGTCCATGTGTAATTTTTCCATAATTCTTTGTTTTTTGCAGCATTTTTGTTAGTGTAACTGCAGATTGTGCTGACAGTGTCTATGGCACAAAAAAAAAAAAAAAAAATTAAATGCCTCAACATGAACCCCTGGTGGTCTCTGAGGGTGAAACCTGCTAACTGCTGCAGCTCTGTCAGCTTCAGTCTCCCATGCAGAGCTCTGAGCGCATGTGTGGCTCTGCACCCTTAGCAGCGTTGCTAACTCCTCAGTAAGGAAAGCCTGCTTCATGTCAGAGTCTCTAAACTCCAGAAGAAGTCGATAAAAGTCCCTTTCTTTCTAAAAAAAAGTCGTTAGGGTGTCTGAAAAGTCATTGAATCTAACAACAAAGTCGCTAGGTTTGCAACTACGTGTCCCAGACTGCATCCCTGCTGAGAGTCCCTCCCTCCCTTCTCATGTTGCAGGAAGAACGTAAGCGCCCGCCCCTTGTCAATCAGTCACCATATAATTTTGGATTGGTTGTTGTGGTGAAGTTTTCCACCAATAGGAGAGATGTTGTGGTGTTTTTTTTTTTCTTTTGGCAAGCCTTTTCCGCCTGTAAGACCTGTCGCTAATGTCTGCATGCTATGTTTTCCTGTCTCATACAGCGCGATCGAGCGCCGAACGTGATCAAAATAAGCAGAAAAAAAGTATCGCGGACATAATTTATCATAACTCTGGTTTTATTTGGCCTATCAACACAATTTAAAAACTGGTATATAGGTTGAGGTCCTCACTTTTGAGATAAGTTGAAACGGAGAGTCAACGAGGCTCCGTCTTGCAGCTACATCCGGTTAAATATGTCATGTGACTTGAACGCACACATAGACACACACACACGCACACACACACGCACACACACACACACACACACACACACACTCAGAGTCTGGTTTTTAGCACCTGCAAAAACATGCTATTTACATATTTGACAAGAATGCAGAGGCTCCGTTTGCCCATGAAAAAAATCAAATTTCAAACACAACTTGACTGCTCATTTCTCCAAAAGACAACCATGAAGCTCCATCCAAACCTGAAGCAGGCAGTTGGTGCATGTGTACAGTAACCTGAGGGGAGTGAGGTGAGTGCTTCTGAGGAGAACATGAGCAGTGAAGATTCACCTTGGAGCTAGAACAGAGACATGCACATGATTATACAGGGGCAGGGGCTCAAGTTTTTTCCAGTCGTTTATACAATATGGAAATTAATGTGAAATTAAAACACAAAGTATTAATAGAAAGGTAATGACTGTCCTGTGTAGGTGACAGTGATATCCAATAGGCTAGGCACTCACGAGGCTGGCTGTGGCAAGTGTAAGTGAAAGCAACACGCACTGGCAGGAAGAACAGCAAACGCCGATGAAGGAAAAGGGTCTTTGCAGTGATGGGCGTTAACAGAGAGGGCGATGGCCAGAGGACACAAATGGGACGGGGAGGCAGCACGTTGGGGGGGGGGGGGGAGACGCGACACGGCTCGGGCCCGCCAGTGCCCCAACGGGGTCCTAGTTTGTTATTAGGGCCCGAGCCAGCTGCAGAGCAGCCGGGCGTAGGCCCTATTATTCCCCAAGTGGTTTTTCTTTGTTTCTTTAGGGCCCGAGCGTAGCTGCTAAGCAGCTGCGAGAGCCCTCTTGTTCCTGATGGATTCTTCTTTTGTTATTATTAGGGCCCGAGCCAGCTGCAGAGCAGCCGGGCGTAGAGCCCTATTATTCCTGATGAGTTTTTCTTTCTTCTTTTTTTCTTTCTTTCTTTCTTTCTTCTTATTTTTCCTCCCCTTTGAAGGGGAAAATGGCCCACTTCCCACTGGCGAAAACTCATGACATTTGGCAGGATGACCGGGCCTGGTGAAAAATTCGATATTCTGAAGTCGCCCAAACAATAAAATGCAAAATGGCTCCATAGCGCCCCCTAAGGTGGAAATTCACACTATTGACTGTCACGCTTGTACGCTTTGTCATATTGACACAAAAATTGACACACACATGTATCTCAATACGATCTACAAAAAAGTCAGTGTGGGCGTATCTGTCAAATGTACGGTTAAAGGGTTATTTCACATTTTTTGCCGATCCGCACACATTGGAATTTCGCTAACTCCTCCGAAGGCTTTCGTTCCACCGGCACCAAATTTGCTCAGGCCAATCTACACCCCATGGCCATTAAAAGTTGTACAAATCATGACGCTGCACCCCACGGTTTAGGTTCTAGGGGGCGCCAAAGATAACCCAAAAATCCACATTCTTAAAAGTCTTATAACTTTTTATTTTTGTCCTCACTGGCCTCCAAGTTCTCTAGGATGATGCAATGTCCAGCAATTAACACATTTGTGAAGGAATTTTTACTCGCCAAAAGAGCGCCCCCCATGGCAGGAGAAAAAAGTCAATTTTTTTCTTGTCCCCTAAGGTGAAAATACACATTGTTGAGTGTCACGCCTGTACGCTTTGTCATATTGACACAAAATTTGACAATCACGTGTATCTCAATAAGATCTACGAAAAAGTCAATGTGCACGTATCTGTAAAATGTACGGTTAAAGGGCTATTTCGCATTTTTTGCCGATTCGCACACATTGGAATGTGGCTAACTCCTCCTAAGGCTTTCGTTCCACTGACACCAAATTTGCTCAGGCCAATCTACACCCCATGGCCATTCAAAGTTGTAAAAATCATGACGCTGCACCCCACGGTTTACGTTCTAGGGGGCGCCAAAGAGGACCCAAATATCCAAATTTTTAAAAGTCTTATAACTTTATTTTTGTCCTCACTGGCCTCCAAGTTTTCTAGGATGATGCAATGTTCAGTCATCAACACATTTGTGAAGGAATTTTTTCTCCCCAAAAGAGCGCCCCCCCATGGCAGGAGAAAAAGTCAAGTTTTTCCTGCCCATCGCTCAATGGCTCAAACGCATCGCTCTCTCGGCAAAACCGAAAGGAGGAGCACCTTGCCATTTGGATATATACTAGCTGTGTTTGTGCCCTCACTCATGGTCCAGACTTTTTTCAAAAAGGACATGGAGTTTGTCTGCAGCGAGCGTTTTGGTAGAAACTGCGCCTCCCATTCATTATAATGGTAAATGACCACAGACAAGTGCGCACACCATCTTTGGACCTTGAGTGTGACGCCATTGGGAGGGGTAGGCGGTTGCGCTGGGGGCGGCGCGACACGGCTCGGGCCCGCCAGTGCCCCAACGGGGCCCTAGTTATTATTTTTCCTCCGCTTTAAACTGGAAAATGGCCCACTTCCCACTGGCGAAAACTCATGAAATTTGGCAGGACGACCGGGCCTGGTGAAAAATTCGATATTCTGAAGTCGCCCAAACAAGAAAATGCAAAATGGCTCCATAGCGCCCCCTAAGGTGAAAATTCACACTATTGACTGTCACGCCTGTACGCTTTGTCATATTGACACAAAAATTGACACACACATGTATCTCAATAAGATCTACAAAAAAGTCAGTGCGGGCGTATCTGTCAAATGTACGGTTAAAGGGTTATTTTGCATTTTTTGCAGATCCGCACACATTGGAATTTCGCTAACTCCTCCGAAGGCTTTCGTTCCACCGGCACCACATTTGCTCAGGCCAATCTACACTCCATGGCCATTCAAAGTTGTACAAATCATAATGCTGCACCCCATGGTTTAGGTTCTAGGGGGCGCCAAAACAACCCAAAAATCCACATTCTTAAAAGTTTTATAAATTTTTTTTTTTGTCCTCACTGGCCTCCAAGTTTTCTAGGATGATGCAATGTCCAGCCATCAACACATTTGTGAAGGAATTTTTACTCCCCAAAAGAGCGCCCCCCCATGGTAGGAGAAAAAAGTCAATTTTTTCTTGTCCCCTTACATAAAAATACACATTGTTGAGTGTCACGCCTGAACGCTTTGTCATATTGACACAAAAATTGACAATCATGTGTATCTCAATTAGATCTACGAAAAAGTCAAAGAGCGCGTATCTGTATAATGTACGGTTAAAGGGCTATTTTGCATTTTTTGCCGATTCGCACACATTGGAATGTGGCTATCTCCTCCTAAGGCTTTCGTCCCACCGATACCAAATTTGCTCAGGGCAATCTACACCCCATGCCCATTCAAAGTTGTAAAAATCATGACGCTGCACCCCACGGTTTACGTTCTAGGGGGCGCCAAAGATGACCCAAAAATCCACATTCTTAAAAGTCATTTTGGCCACTGCAGGAGTACAGAGTACTGCAGTTCTAGGGGCGCCAAAGCTGACCCAAAAATCCACATTCTTAAAAGTCTTTTTGGCCACTGCAGGAGTACAGAGTACTGCAGGATACACACACATATACACACACGCCAACATACACACACACACACACACACACACACACACACACACACTCAGAGTCTGTTTTTTAGCACCTGCAAAAACATGCTGTTTACATATTTGACAAGAATGCAGAGGCTTCCTTTTGCCCCTGAAAAAAATCAAATTTCAAACACAACTTGACTGTTCATTTCTCCAAAAGACAACCATGAAGCTCCATTTCAAACCTGAAGCAGATAGTTGGTGCATGTGTACAGTAACCTGAGGGGAGTGAGGTGACTATTTCTGAGGACAACATGAGCAGTGAAGATTCACCTTGGAGCTAGAACAGGGACGTGCACATGATTATACAGGGGCAGGGGCTCAAGTTTTTTCCAGTCATTTATACAATATGGAAATTAATGTGAAATTAAACCACAAATATGTGTGATGAACTGTTTTTAAAACTTAAACTTCAAATAAAAATTGTAAACTTCAAAACATATGCAAATTTTTAACAAAGAACATAGTAATTTACCTCTATTGACATCAAAATGCAGGCAATGGCCCAGGTGTTCTTTGTAAAATTATTTACAAAACACTGTATAGTCTCACAAATGTCACTTTTTATTTATGCCACTACAAAAAAACATGATGTAAATGATGCATGATGTAAAACATGATGTAAAAAACTTGTGTAGATCCTCCTCTATGTTAGTCCATGTGTAATTTTTCCATAATTCTTTGTTTTTTGCAGCATTTTTGTTAGTGTAACTGCAGATTGTGCTGACAGTGTCTATGGCAAAAAAAAAAAAAAAAAACTGAAAATGCCTCAACATGAACCCCTGGTGGTCTCTGAGGGTGAAACCTGCTAACTGCTGCAGCTCTGTCAGTTTCAGTCTCCCATGCAGAGCTCGGAGCGCATGTGTGGCTCTGCACCCTTAGCAGCGTTGCTAACTCCTCAGTAAGGAAAGCCTGCTTCATGTCAGAGTCTCTAAACTCCAGAAGAAGTCGATAAAAGTCACTTTCTTTCTAAAAAAATCGTTAGGGGGTCTGAAAAGTCATTGAATCTAACAACAAAGTCGCTAGGTTTGCAACTACGTGTCCCAGACTGCATCCCTGCTGAGAGTCCCTCCCTCCCTTCTCATATTGCAGGAAGAACGTAAGTTCCCGCCCCTTGTCAATCAGTCACCATATAATTTTGGATTGGTTGTTGTGGTGAAGTTTTCCACCAATAGGAGAGATGTTGTGGTGTGTATTTTTTTTCTTTTGGCAAGCCTTTTCCGCCTGTAAGACCTGTCGCTAATGTCTGCATGCTATGTTTTCCTGTCTCATACAGCGCGATCGAGCGCCGAACGTGATCAAAATAAGCAGAAAACAAGTATCGCGGACATAATTTATCATAACTCTGGTTTTATTTGGCCTATCAACACAATTTAAAAACTGGTATATAGGTTGAGGTCCTCACTTTTGAGATAAATTGAAACGGAGAGTCAACGAGGCTCCGTCTTGCAGCTACATCCGGTTAAATATGTCATGTGACTTGAACGCACACACACACACACACAGACACACACACACGCACACACACACACTCAGAGTCTGGTTTGTAGCACCTGCAAAAACATGCTATTTACATATTTGACAAGAATGCAGAGGCTCCTTTTGCCCCTGAAAAAAATCAAATTTCAAACACAACTTGACTGGTCATTTCTCCAAAAGACAACCATGAAGCTCCATCCAAACCTGAAGCAGGCAGTTGGTGCATGTGTACAGTAACCTGAGGGGAGTGAGGTGACTGCTTCTGAGGAGAACATGAGCAGTGAAGATTTACCTTAGAGCTAGAACAGAGACGTGCACATGATTATACAGGGGCAGGGGCTCAAGTTTTTTCCAGTCGTTTATACAATTTGGAAATTAATGTGAAATTAAAAAACAAAGTATTAATAGAAAGGTAATGACTGTCCTGTGTAGGTGACAGTGATATCCAATAGGCTAGGCACTCACGAGGCTGGCTGTGGCAAGTGTAAGTGAAAGCAACACGCACTGGCAGGAAGAACAGCAAACGCCGATGAAGGAAAAGGGTCTTTGCAGTGATGGGCGTTACCAAAGAGGGCGATGGCCAGAGGACACAAATGGGACGGGGAGGCAGCGCGTTGGGGGGGGGACGCGACACAGCTCGGGCCCGCCAGTGCCCCAACGGGGTCCTAGTTAGGGCCCGAGCGTAGCTGCTAAGCAGCTGCGAGAGCCCTCTTGTTCCTGCATGTTTCCTTCTTTTGTTATTAGGGCCCGAGCGTAGCTGCTAAGCAGCTGCGAGAGCCCTCTTGTTCCTGATGGATTCTTCTTTCGTTATTTTTCCTCCGCTTTAAACTGGAAAATGGCCCACTTCCCACTGGTGAAAACTCATGAAATTTGGCAGGAAGACCGGGCCTGGTGAAAAATTCGATATTCTGAAGTCGCCCAAACAAAAAAATGAAAAATGGCTCCATAGCGCCCCCTATGGTGAAAATTCACCTAACGCCTGTACGCTTTGTCAAAATGACACAAAATTTGACACACATGTGTATCTCAATAAGACCTACAAAAAAGTCAGTGCGGGCGTATCTGTCAAATGTACCGTTAAAGGGCTATTTCGCATTTTTTGCCGATCCGCACACATTGGAATTTCGCTAACTCCTCCGAAGGCTTTCGTTCCACCGGCACCAAATTTGCTCAGGCCAATCTACACCCCATGGCCATTAAAAGTTGTACAAATCATGACGCTGCACCCCACGGTTTACGTTCTAGGGGGCGCCAAAGATAACCCAAAAATCCACATTCTTAAAAGTCTTATAACTTTTTATTTTTGTCCTCACTGGCCTCCAAGTTTTCTAGGATGATGCAATGTCCAGCCATCAACACATTTGTGAAGGAATTTTTACTCCCCAAAAGAGCGCCCCCCCATGGCAGGTGAAAAAAGTCAATTTTTTCTTGTCCCCTAACATGAAAATACACATTGTAGAGTGTCACGCCTGAACGCTTTGTCATATTGACACAAAATTTGACAATCACGTGTATCTCAATAAGATCTATGAAAAAGTCAAAGAGCGCGTATCTGTATAATGTACGGTTAAAGGGCTATTTCGCATTTTTTGCCGATCCGCACACATTGGAATTTCGCTAACTCCTCCGAAGGCTTTCGTTCCACCGGCACCAAATTTGCTCAGGTCAATCTACACCCCATGGCCATTCAAATTTGTACAAATCATGACGCTGCACCCCACGGTTTACGTTCTAGGGGGCGCCAAAGATAACCCAAAAATCCACATTCTTAAAAGTCTTATAACTTTTTATTTTTGTCCTCACTGGCCTCCAAGTTTTCTAGGATGATGCAATGTCCAGCCATCAACACATTTGTGAAGGAATTTTTACTCCCCAAAAGAGCGCCCCCCCATGGCAGGAGAAAAAAGTCAATTTTTTCTTGTCCCCTTACATGAAAATACACATTGTTGAGTGTCACGCCTGAACGCTTTGTCATATTGACACAAAAATTGACAATCATGTGTATCTCAATTAGATCTACGAAAAAGTCAATGCGCGCGTATCTGTATAATGTACGGTTAAAGGGCTATTTCGCATTTTTTGCCGATTCGCACACATTGGAATGTGGCTATCTCCTCCTAAGGCTTTCGTCCCACCGATACCAAATTTGCTCAGGGCAATCTACACCCCATGCCCATTCAAAGTTGTAAAAATCATGACGCTGCACCCCACGGTTTACGTTCTAGGGGGCGCCAAAGATGACCCAAAAATCCACATTCTTAAAAGTCATTTTGGCCACTGCAGGAGTACAGAGTACTGCAGTTCTAGGGGGCGCCAAAGATGACCCAAAAATCCACATTCTTAAAAGTCTTTTTGGCCACTGCAGGAGTACAGAGTACTGCAGGATACACACATACACACACACACACACACACACACACACACACACACACACACACACACACACACACTCAGAGTCTGTTTTTTAGCACCTGCAAAAACATGCTGTTTACATATTTGACAAGAATGCAGAGGCTTCCTTTTGCCCCTGAAAAAAATCAGATTTCAAACACAACTTGACTGTTCATTTCTCCAAAAGACAACCATGAAGCTCCATCCAAACCTGAAGCAGATAGTTGGTGCATGTGTACAGTAACCTGAGGGGAGTGAGGTGACTATTTCTGAGGAGAACATGAGCAGTGAAGATTCACCTTGGAGCTAGAACAGGGACGTGCACATGATTATACAGGGGCAGGGGCTCAAGTTTTTTCCAGTCATTTATACAATATGGAAATTAATGTGAAATTAAACCACAAATATGTGTGATGAACTGTTTTTAAAACTTAAACTTCAAATAAAAATTGTAAACTTCAAAACATATGCAAATTTTTAACAAAGAACATAGTAATTTACCTCTATTTACATCAAAATGCAGGCAATGGCCCAGGCGTTCTTTGTAAAATTATTTACAAAACACTGTATAGTCTCACAAATGTCACTTTTTATTTATGCCACTACAAAAAAACATGATGTAAATGATGCATGATGTAAAACATGATGTAAAAAACTTGTGTAGATCCTCCTCTATGTCAGTCCATGTGTAATTTTTCCATAATTCTTTGTTTTTTGCAGCATTTTTGTTAGTGTAACTGCAGATTGTGCTGACAGTCTATGGCAAAAAAAACAAAAACTGAAAATGCCTCAACATGAACCCCTGGTGGTCTCTGAGGGTGAAACCTGCTAACTGCTGCAGCTCTGTCAGCTTCAGTCTCCCATGCAGAGCTCGGAGCGCATGTGTGGCTCTGCACCCTTAGCAGCGTTGCTAACTCCTCAGTAAGGAAAGCCTGCTTCATGTCAGAGTCTCTAAACTCCAGAAGAAGTCGATAAAAGTCCCTTTCTTTCTAAAAAGTCGTTAGGGGGTCTGAAAAGTAATTGAATCTAACAACAAAGTCGCTAGGTTTGCAACTACGTGTCCCAGACTGCATCCCTGCTGAGAGTCCCTCCATCCCTTCTCATGTTGCAGGAAGAACGTAAGCGCCCGCCCCTTGTCAATCAGTCACCATATAATTTTGGATTGGTTGTTGTGGTGAAGTTTTCCACCAATAGGAGAGATGTTGTGGTGTGTTTTTTTTTTTCTTTTGGCAAGCCTTTTCCACCTGTAAGACCTGTCGCTAATGTCTGCATGCTATGTTTTCCTGTCTCATACAGCGCGATCGAGCGCCGAACGTGATCAAAATAAGCAGGAAAAAAGTATCGCAGACATAATTTATCATAACTCTGGTTTTATTTGGCCTATCAACACAATTTAAAAACTGGTATATAGTTTAAGGTCCTCACTTTGGAGATAAGTTGAAACGGAGAGTCAACGAGGCTCCGTCTTGCAGCTACATCCGGTTAAATTTGTCATGTGACTTGAACGCTGGGGAGCGTCAATCGACTGCAGAGCCAGCAGACAAAGTAGTTAAGGCCACTGAGAGGCACACATTTGTTAATGCTATAATCCTAACATATTTTAATGCTTTTTCTATTTAAACCTAATGGATCAGGGAGGCGGTCGCGCTGGGGGCGGCGCGACGCGGCTCGGGCCCGCCAGTGCCCCAACGGGGCCCTAGTTATTTTTCCTCCGCTTTAAACTGGAAAATGGCCCACTTCCCACTGGCGAAAACTCAGGAAATTTGGCAGGACGACCGGGCCTGGTGAAAAATTCGATATTCTGAAGTCGCCCAAACAATAAAATGCAAAATGGCTCCATAGCGCCCCCTAAGGTGAAAATTCACATGACGGCTGTACGCTTTGTCATATTGACAGAAAAATTGACACACACGTGTATCTCAATAAGATGTACAAAAAAGTCAGTGCGGGCGTATCTGTCAAATGTACGGTTAATGGGTTATTTTTCATTTTTTGCAGATCTGCACACATTGGAATTTCGCTAACTCCTCCGAAGGCTTTCGTTCGACCGGCACCACATTTGCGCAGGCCAATCTACACCCCATGGCCATTAAAAGTTGTACAAATCATGACGCTGCACCCCACGGTTTACGTTCTAGGGGGCGCCAAAGATAACCCAAAAATCCACATTCTTAAAAGTCTTATAACTTTTTACTTTTGTCCTCACTGGCCTCCAAGTTTTCTAGGATGATGCAATGTCCAGCCATCAACACATTTGTGAAGGAATTTTTACTCCCCAAAAGAGCGCCCCCCAATGGCAGGAGAAAAAGGTCCATTTTTTCTTGTCTCCAAAGGTCAAAATACACATTGTCGAGTGTCACGTTTGTATGCTTTGTCATATTGACACAAAATTTGACAATCACATGTATCTCAATAAGATCTACGAAAAAGTCAAAGGGCATGTATCTGTCAAATGTACGGTTAAAGGGCTATTTTGCATTTTTTGCTGATCCGCACACATTGGAATTTCACTAACTCCTCCGAAGGCTATCTTTCCACCGGCACCAAATTTGCTCCGGCCAATCTACACCCCATGGCCATTAAAAGTTGTACAAATCATCTTGCTGCACCCCACGGTTTGGGTTCTAGGGGGCACCAAATATAACCCAAAAATCCACATTCTTAAAAGTCTTATAACTTTTTATTTTTTTCCATACTGGCCTCCAAGTTTTTTAGGATGATGCAATGTCCAGCCATCAACACATTTGTGAAGAAATTTTTACTCCCCAAAAGAGCGCCCCCCCATGGCAGGAGAAAAAAGTCCATTTTTTCTTATCCCGAAAGGTGAAAATACACGTTGTTGAGTGTCACGCCTTTACGCTTTGTCATATTGACAAAAAAATTGACAATCATGTGTATCTCAATTAGATCTACGAAAAAGTCAAAGAGCGCGTATCTGTATAATGTACGGTTAAAGGGCTATTTTGCATTTTTTGCCGATTCGCACACATTGGAATGTGGCTATCTCCTCCTAAGGCTTTCGTCCCACCGATACCAAATTTGCTCAGGGCAATCTACACCCCATGCCCATTCAAAGTTGTAAAAATCATGACGCTGCACCCCACGGTTTACGTTCTAGGGGGCGCAAGAGATGACCCAAAAATCCACATTCTTAAAAGTCATTTTGGCCACTACAGGAGTACAGAGTACTGCAGTTCTAGGGGGCGCCAAAGATGACCCAAAAATCCACATTCTTAAAAGTCTTTTTGGCCACTGCAGGAGTACAGAGTACTGCAGGATACACACACATATACACACACGCCAACATACACACACACACACACACACACAGACACACACACACACACACTCAGAGTCTGGTTTTTAGCACCTTCAAAAACATGCTGTTTACATATTTGACAAGAATGCAGAGGCTTCCTTTTGCCCCTGAAAAAAATCAAATTTCAAACACAACTTGACTGTTCATTTCTCCAAAAGACAACCATGAAGCTCCATTTCAAACCTGAAGCAGATAGTTGGTGCATGTGTACAGTAACCTGAGGGGAGTGAGGTGACTATTTCTGAGGAGAACATGAGCAGTGAAGATTCACCTTGGAGCTAGAACAGGGACGTGCACATGATTATACAGGGGCAGGGGCTCAAGTTTTTTCCAGTCATTTATACAATATGGAAATTAATGTGAAATTAAACCACAAATATGTGTGATGAACTGTTTTTAAAACTTAAACTTCAAATAAAAATTGTAAACTTCAAAACATATGCAAATTTTTAACAAAGAACATAGTAATTTACCTCTATTTACATCAAAATGCAGGCAATGGCCCAGGCGTTCTTTGTAAAATTATTTACAAAACACTGTATAGTCTCACAAATGTCACTTTTTATTTATGCCACTACAAAAAAACATGATGTAAATGATGCATGATGTAAAACATGATGTAAAAAACTTGTGTAGATCCTCCTCTATGTCAGTCCATGTGTAATTTTTCCATAATTCTTTGTTTTTTGCAGCATTTTTGTTAGTGTAACTGCAGATTGTGCTGACAGTGTCTATGGCACTAAAAAAAAAAAAAATTTAAAATGCCTCAACATGAACCCCTGGTGGTCTCTGAGGGTGAAACCTGCTAACTGCTGCAGCTCAGTCAGCTTCAGTCTCCCATGCAGAGCTCTGAGTGCATGTGTGGCTCTGCACCCTTAGCAGCGTTGCTAACTCCTCAGTAAGGAAAGCCTGCTTCATGTCAGAGTCTCTAAACTCCAGAAGAAGTCGATAAAAGTCCCTTTCTTTCTAAAAAAAGTCGTTAGGGGGTCTGAAAAGTCATTGAATCTAACAACAAAGTCGCTAGGTTTGCAACTACGTGTCCCAGACTGCATCCCTGCTGAGAGTCCCTCCCTCCCTTCTCATGTTGCAGGAAGAACGTAAGCGCCCGCCCCTTGTCAATCAGTCACCATATAATTTTGGATTGGTTGTTGTGGTGAAGTTTTCCACCAATAGGAGAGATGTTGTGGTGTGTTTTTTTTTTTCTTTTGGCAAGCCTTTTCCGCCTGTAAGACCTGTCACTAATGTCTGCATGCTATGTTTTCCTGTCTCATACAGCGCGATCGAGCGCCGAACGTGATCAAAATAAGCAGAAAAAAAGTATCGCGGACATAATTTATCATAACTCTGGTTTTATTTGGCCTATCAACACAATTTAAAAACTGGCTCGGGCCCGCCAGTGCCCAAACGGGGTCCTAGTTAGGGCCCGAGCCAGCTGCAGAGCAGCCGGGCGTAGGCCCTATTATTCCCCAAGTGGTTTTTCTTTGTTTCTTTCTTTCTTTTTAGGGCCCGAGCCAGCTGCAGAGCAGCCGGGCGTAGGCCCTATTATTCCCCAAGTGGTTTTTAGGGCCCGAGCGTAGCTGCTAAGCAGCTGCGAGAGCCCTATTATTCCCCAAGGGGTTTTTCTTTGTTTCTTTAGGGCCCGAGCGTAGCTGCTAAGCAGCTGCGAGAGCCCTATTATTCCCCAAGTGGTTTTTCTTTGTTTCTTTAGGGCCCGAGCGTAGCTGCTAAGCAGCTGCGAGAGCCCTCTTGTTCCTGTAGTTTCCTTCTTTTGTTATTATTATTATTATTATTTTTCCTCCCCTTTGAACTGGAAAATGGCCCACTTCCCACTGGCGAAAACTCATGAAATTTGGCAGGACGACCGGGCCTGGTGAAAAATTTGATATTCCGAAGTCGCCCAAACAAGAAAATGCAAAATGGCTCCATAGCGCCCCCTAACGTGAAAATTCACACTATTCACTGTCACGCCTGTACGCTTTGTCAAAATGACACAAAAATTGACACACACATGTATCTCAATAAGATCTACAAAAAAGTCAGTGCGGGCGTATCTGTCAAATGTACGGTTAAAGGGTTATTGCGCATTTTTTGCCGATCCGCACACATTGGAATTTCGCTAACTCCTCCGAAGGCTTTCGTTCCACCGGCACCACATTTGCTCAGGCCAATCTACACCCCATGGCCATTAAAAGTTATTCAAATCATGACGCTGCACCCCACGGTTTAGGTTCTAGGGGGCGCCAAAAATAACCCTAAAATCCACATATTTCAAAGTCTTATAACTTTTTATTTTTGCCCTCACTGGCCTCCAAGTTTTCTAGGATGATGCAATGTCCAGCCATCAACACATTTGTGAAGGAATTTTTACTCCCCAAAAGAGCGCCCCCCCATGGCAGGAGAAAAAAGTCCATTTTTTCTTGTCCCATAAGGTGAAAATTCACACTATTGACTGTCACGCCTGTACGCTTTGTCAAAATTACACAAAAATTGACACACACATGTATCTCAATAAGATCTACAAAAAAGTCAGTGCTGGCGTATCTGTCAAATGTACGGTTAAAGGGTTATTGCGCATTTTTTGCCGATCCGCACACATTGGAATTTCGCTAACTCCTCCGAAGGCTTTCGTTCCACCGGCACCACATTTGCTCAGGCCAATCTACACCCCATGGCCATTAAAAGTTATTCAAATCATGACGCTGCACCCCACAGTTTAGGTTCTAGGGGGCGCCAAAGATAACCCAAAAATCCACATATTTAAAAGTCTTATAACTTTTTATTTTTGTCCTCTCTGGCCTCCAAGTTTTCTAGGATGATGCAATGTCCAGCCATCAACACATTTGTGAAGGAATTTTTACTCCCCAAAAGAGCGCCCCCCATGGCAGGAGAAAAAAGTCCATTTTTTCTTGTCCCATAAGGTGAAAATACACATTGTTGACTGTCATACCTGTATGCTTTGTCATATTGACACAAAATTTGACACACACATGTATCTCAATAAGATCTACGAAAAAGTCAATGCGCGCGTATCTGTAAAATGTACGGTTAAAGGGCTATTTTGCATTTTTTGCCGATTAGCACACATTGGAATGTGGCTAACTCCTCCTAAGGCTTTCGTCCCACTGACACCAAATTTGCTCAGGCCAATCTACACCCCATGGCCATTCAAAGTTTTAAAAATCATGACGCTGCACCCCACGGTTTACGTTCTAGGGGGCGCCAAAGATGACCCAAATATCCACATTCTTAAAAGAATCCACATCCCCCCCCCCCCATCCCCCATCCCCCATGGCAGGAGAAACAGTCAAGTTTTTCCTGCCCATCACTCAATGGCTCAATCGCATCGCTCTCCCGGCAACACCGTAACGAGGAGCAACTTGCCGTTTGGATATATCCTAGCTGTGTTTGTGCCCTCACTCATGGTCCACACTTTTTTCAAATAGGACATGTAGTTTGTCTGCAGCGAGTGTTTTGGTAGAAACTGCGCCTCCCATTCATTATAATGGGAAATGACCACAGACAAGTGCGCACACCATCTTTGGACCTTGAGTGTGACGCGATCGGGAGGGGGAGGCGGTCGCACTGGGGGCGGCGCAACGCGGCTCGGGCCCGCCAGTGCCCCAACGGGGCCCTAGTTCTTTCTTTCTTTCTTTCTTTCTTTCTTCTTTTTCCTCCCCTTTGAACTGGAAAATGGCCCACTTCCCACTGGCGAAAACTCATGAAATTTGGCAGGACGACCGGGCCTGGTGAAAAATTCGATATTCTGAAGTCGCCCAAACAATAAAATGCAAAATGGCTCCATAGCGCCCCCTAAGGTGGAAATTCACACTATTGACTGTCACGCCTGTACGCTTTGTCATATTGACACAAAAATTGACACACATATGTATCTCAATAAGATCTACAAAAAAGTCAGTGCGCGCGTATCTGTCAAATGTACGGTTAAAGGGTTATTTTGCATTTTTTTCCGATCCGCACACATTGGAATTTCGCTAACTCCTCCGAAAGCTTTCGTTCCACCGGCACCACATTTGCTCAGGCCAATCTACACCCCGTGGCCATTAAAAGTTATCAAAATCATGACGCTGCACCCCAAGGTTTAGGTTCTAGGGGGCGCCAAAGATAACACTAAAATCCACATATTTAAAAGTCTTATAACTTTTTATTTTTGTCCTCACTGGCCTCCAAGTTTTCTAGGATGATGCAATGTCCAGCCATCAACACATTTGTGAAGGAATTTTTACTCCCCAAAAGAGCGCCCCCCCATGGCAGGAGAAAAAAGTCCATTTTTTCTTGTCCCCTAAGGTGAAAATACACATTGTTGAGTGTCACGCCTATACGCTTTGTCAAAATGACACAAAAATTGACACACACATGTAACTCAATAAGATCTACGAAAAAGTCAATGCGCGCGTATCTGTCAAATGTACGGTTAAAGGGTTATTCCGCATTTTTTGCCGATCCGCACACATTGGAATGTGGCTAACTCCTCCTAAGGCTTTCGTTCCACCGGCACCACATTTGCTCAGGCCAATCTACACCCCATGGCCATTAAAAGTTATCAAAATCATGACGCTGCACCCCACGGTTTAGGTTCTAGGGGGCGCCAAAGATAACCCTAAAATCCACATATTTAAAAGTCTTATAACTTTTTATTTTTGTCCTCACTGGCCTCCAAGTTTTCTAGGATGATGCAATGTCCAGCCATCAACACATTTGTGAAGGAATTTTTACTCCCCAAAAGAGCGCCCCCCATGGCAGGAGAAAAAAGTCCATTTTTTCTTGTCCCTTAAGGTGAAAATACATATTGTTGAGATTCACGCCTATACGCTTTGTCATATTGACACAAAATTTGACAATCACGTGCCTTGCCTGGTATCATTTTTTTCAGCACAACCTCACCTGTGCGAATTTACAGTTATTTTATCATGTTGACATACTGAATTTACACAATGGACCCAAATTCACACACAAAACATAAAATCCGAGTGGAAAAAAGTAACATTTTTACTGTGAAAACCACAAATATGTGTGATGAACTGTTTTCAAAACTTAAACTTCAAATAAAAATTGTAAACTTCAAAACATATGCAAATTTTTAACAAAGAACATAGTGATTTACCTCTATTTACATCAAAATGCAGGCAATGGCCCAGGCGTTCTTTGTAAAATTATTTACAAAACACTGTATAGTCTCACAAATGTCACTTTTTATTTATGCCACTACAAAAAAACATGATGTAAATGATGCATGATGTAAAACATGATGTAAAAAACTTGTGTAGATCCTCCTCTATGTCAGTCCATGTGTAATTTTTCCATAATTCTTTGTTTTTTGCAGCATTTTTGTTAGTGTAACTGCAGATTGTGCTGACAGTGTCTATGGCACAAAAAAAGAAAAAATTAAAATGCCTCAACATGAACCCCTGGTGGTCTCTGAGGGTGAAACCTGCTAACTGCTGCAGCTCTGTCAGCTTCAGTCTCCCATGCAGAGCTCTGAGCGCATGTGTGGCTCTGCACCCTTAGCAGCGTTGCTAACTCCTCAGTAAGGAAAGCCTGCTTCATGTCAGAGTCTCTAAACTCCAGAAGAAGTCGATAAAAGTCACTTTCTTTCTAAAAAAAGTCGTTAGGGGGTCTGAAAAGTCATTGAATCTAACAACAAAGTCGCTAGGTTTGCAACTACGTGTCCCAGACTGCATCCCTGCTGAGAGTCCCTCCCTCCCTTCTCATGTTGCAGGAAGAACGTAAGCGCCCGCCCCTTGTCAATCAGTCACCATATAATTTTGGATTGGTTGTTGTGGTGAAGTTTTCCACCAATAGGAGAGATGTTGTGGTGTGTTTTTTTTTTCTTTTGGCAAGCCTTTTCCGCCTGTAAGACCTGTCGCTAATGTCTGCATGCTATGTTTTCCTGTCTCATACAGCGCGATCGAGCGCCGAACGTGATCAAAATAAGCAGAAAAAAAGTATCGCGGACATAATTTATCATAACTCTGGTTTTATTTGGCCTATCAACACAATTTAAAAACTGGTATATAGGTTGAGGTCCTCACTTTTGA